GGTGGGGGGGAGAGGGAGGGGGCGGAGTGGGTGGTAAGGGAGGGGGTGGGGGCAGGGGGGAGAAATGACCCAAGCCTTGTATGTACATATGAATAAAAGTAAAAAAAAAAAAAAAAAAGTAACCTCCTGAGCAACTGTGGCCCTTGCTTGTTGCTGGGTGGGACAGATGTAAAATTACTCAGCCTCTGTAGGAGCAGTCCAGTAGCTCCTCAATGTTAAACATAGAGTTATCATAAGGATCCGAAAATTCTACTCCTAGTGTATTCCCAGGAGAAATGAAAGTATTCCACGTAGAAAACATGCTTACATAAAAATAGGAACATGAATGTCTGCAGTAGCACTGCTCACATCTGCCCCCCAACAACGTGAATGTCTGCCAACAGATGACTGGTAAGCCAAATGTGGTCCATCCATGAAAAGGAATATTATTGGACCATGAAAAGGAATGAAGCACTCAACATGTGCTACAACTCAGGTGGACCTTGAAAACATTACACTGAGTGAAAGAAGCCAGATACAAAGGTCACATACTACATGATTTCTTTATAGAAAATGTCCAGAATAGGTCAATCTATACAAAACAGAAAGATTAGTGGTTGCCAGGGCCTGAGGGGAAAGGGGATGAGGGCTCTATATAAATCCACGGCTGTCTTATATAGGGTGCTTGAGCACAGCCATGGAGGGTTCTGGATCCCCCTGCATACTGTGGGGTAACTGTACTTTAAAATGGTGAATTTGTGGTATGTGGATTATATCCCACTTTTGAAAAAAAAGTTTCTCACCCTCAGAGTTACACTTGGGAAGCAATAGTTTGTTTCTCCTTGGGGTAGAGTGGCCTTGACAGTCAAGACCTGCCCTTGAGGACAGACAAGTTTATGGGCCTGTCCAGCAGTGGCTTGGGACACACAGCCAGCTCTCCTGGAGCCCAGGGCCTGTGAGGTCTACTGAGTGGGACTGGATTATTTCAGGCCCTGCATGTCAGACCCTGGAGCCTGGACCTTACCTTGTGGGCAAGGAGCAGGCAGCTGGGAAGGGACGCCAGACTTGGATGGCTCTGCTGGCATCTCCTGGGAGCAGTTTCTCACAGAGGCCTGCATCAGTCGTGAGCCCTCAGGGCTGGCAGGGGGCAGGGAGAAGGAACACGTTGATTCTCCATGGGTCGAGGAGTCACTGTCCTCTCTCTTCAGATCCTAGTGAAGACCATGATTCGGAAACGCTCCTTTGGAAACCCTTTTGAGGGCAGCCGGCGGGAGGAACGCTCTTTGTCCGCGCCTGGGAACCTGCTCACGTGAGTGTCCACCTGCCTTCCTCCCAGGGCAGGGGGAAGGGACTAGGCCTGGGACAGTGCTTCCCACACCACTGCACGGGCCATCCCTGGAGCTGTGCCACTGGGAAGGACTCGGAGGGAGACCCACCCGGCACAGTGGGGACATCGGCAGTCACTGGCTTTCGTCTTTCTGTGTTCTGGGCTCAGCCAGCATCCGTGTGCCAACAGCTCATCCACCCTGAAGTGTCCCCTGTCTCAGACTCCTGCTTTCATGGCGGGGGTTTGTCTCTGACCATCAGCACTCTGTGGCCCAGAAACATAGTGTTTTGGTTTCGCTCTGGGCCCTTACATGTCAATGCAGACAGGTGTCCACTCACCTGCTAGGAAAGACAGCCTTGGCTCAGCTGTGTGAAGCAGGTGTTGGGGTCCATTGTCTCCGGGGCGGGGATGGCATCCCATGGATCCCAAGGGTCCCTTCTCACTTCCCTTTTCCCTCCCTCTGGCAATTCCAGCAAAAAACCAACCAGGGAGTGGGAGCCCCTGTCTGAGCCCAAGGTAACAACAGCCTGCCTGTGCCATAGCCTCTGCTGGGGCCTGGGGGCGGGGCAGCTGCAGAGCACGGGGACATTTCCACCAGGCAGCCATGCCTTCCAGCCTTTGCCTAGGTCACTGGGGGCCTCCAGACCCAGGGGTTAAAATGAGGGGCAATGAGGGGCTTGGGCCCAATGACGGGTCTTGCATGTGGGCTGAGCTGCAGTGCATGGCGCTCCACCAGGAATGCCTGTGAACTCACCCAGGTCTTCAGGTCATCAGGTCCAGGCAGGCACCCACGTAAATCAGTGCACAGCCATGGCACTGAAGCTTTGTCACAGGCCCCAGAACTTCTCTATTGTGTTTGTGAGTGGTCCGAGCACAGGGTTAAGACCTGAAACAGAAGTTCCTTTCTGCCTGTTGCTGATGTAAAAGCCCTCTGATCCAGGTAGGATTCAGACCTTTTCCTTCCTGGCCAGCCATCCTTCTCCCAAATGCACACATCCAGGGGCTGGCATTACCTGTACCTCCCAGGAGAAATGAGAACTTTTGTGCTTGTAAGACTTGGGAGCACCTGGTTGGTAGCTCTATACCACTTGTCCCCAAATACCTAAGACAGGATGAAGACCCCAGTGTCCTTCCCACTGAACCTCATGTGGTTGCCTGACTCCACACAGCCACTTCTATTGTTAAAAATAGATTTATTGAGGCCTGAGCTGTAGCTCAGCGGTAGAGTGTGTGTACTGTATGCACAAGACTGTGGGTTCAATCCCCAGCACTGCAAAAAAAAAGAAAAAAGCTTTATTAAGAGAAAATTCACAGTTGGGTGCTGGTGGCTCATGCCTGTAATCCTAGCTACTCAGGAGGCAGAGATCAGGAGGCTGTCAATTAAAGTCAGCCCAGGCAAATAGTTCAAGAGACCCTATCTTGAAAAATATTCAACACACACACAAAAAAGGGCAGGCGGTGTGGTTCAAGTGGTAGAGTGTCTGCCTAGCAAGTATGAGGCCCAGAGTTCAAACCAAACCCCAGTGTCACAAAAAAATAAATAAAGAATACACATCCAGTTCACTCATTTAAATGTCTAACTCAGTGACTTCTAATATAGTCACCAAGTTTTGCAGCCATCACCATGACAATTTTAGAATATTTTTCTTACCCAACAAGAAACCCTGCACCTGTGAGGTGTCCCCACCAAAACCCCTCATTTTCCAGCACTCAACTGATGTACTTCCATTTTTGTAAGGATTTATCTGTTCTAAACATTTCTTATAAATGGAGTCATACAGTGTGTGGGCTTTTGTGTTTGGCTTCTTTCATTCACGCATCGTGTTTCCAAGGTTCATCCACATTGCATCGGTGCTTTGATCCTTTTGATGATCAAATAATACTTGGATGGAGCACACTTTGTTTATCCATTCATCTGCTGATGCTGTCACGAATGATGCTGCTGTGGAAAATTGTATACAAGTGGAAGCCATTTCTCTCTGTAAGGCGAGGAAGTTTACCTGAGTAGCCAGGGGCTTAGATTGTGATCAGGGAGACCAGGAAGATGCGTCAGCGTCAGCAATTAAGTTGTCTTCAGCAGCCCACCTCATTTCCAGACTACCAGATGGCCCCTCCTTAGGCCTGAGTCTCCCGCCATGACAAGGAGGGGAAGCCTGGTGGTCTGGCCTTTCCATAGCCCTTCTCTTCTTATCCTCTATGTCAGGCTCTGCCAGAACTGGGGTTGCTTTCCATCCCTGAGCAAGTCTGTTCTTTGTTTCTTTTTAATTTTTAATGAGATCAAAATTGCAAGACACCAACAGATGGAGTCTGGCTGGAAAGGCTTTACTGCCCCTTCATTCTCTCACCTGCAGCCCGTTACCTGCTCATAGCCTATGGGGTGGATGCCATTCTTGAGATGCTTATAGAGATTGGGTCATGGGGTCCTGGACTGAAGGCTCACTTCAGTCTGCAGCAGACCCAGCCTGTGCCAGTGGGCATCTTCAAGAACAGGAGTCATGGCCCCATTCTGACATCTAGGCACAGCTTTCTGCTCCCCAGGAGTCTTCACCCCCTATTTGTTAGAAACATAAAAAGCCACTGAATGTGATTTTCAAACAGACATCACAATTTTCCTTCCTTGTGCAGCAGGCAGAGTCTTCTGTCTGGACAGGGCACACAGATGGCTGTTGGTAATGACGGACAGTAGCCCCAAATGGCAAGCCCAACGGCTTCCCTTACAAGGGGGCACCTGCATGAAGGAAGCAAAGGACTTGACCCCTCCTTAGCGATTTCCCCTCCTATCCATGGTTGTTACACCAGGAAGCTCTTTGGGGAGGTTGTTGTAGCCTTTTCTCAGAGGTCACTCTAAGCCAGGCTGCTGCCCCCAGGAGCACATTGTGGGGCAACTGAGGACAAGTGCCATCATTTCTGCCCTGCAGCTTCTACCCTAAGGGGGAGAGAAAGCCCAGAGACCTATAAACAGAGAACACTCCCCACAGCAGGGCCGCCTTCTTCATGTGACCCGTGCAGTGATTTTAGGTGTTACATAGCTAGTTTTGCACCTGTTTTATACTTCCTGCTATTTTTGGCAAATCGTGCTTCCTCATTTACAGAGGGGGTGCAAAGTCTCCTTTGGAAAAATTTGTGTGAGCAAGGAAAGTGGGGCAGAGCAGCTAAAAGATCAGGTGATGGCGATAATGTCCCAGGTGGCACAAGATGACACACTTAGGCAGATGGGGCACAAAGGTGAGAGAGAGCCGCTCAGGGCCTTGCCACCCTTTGTCTGAGCATTAACGCTGGTTTTCTGTTTGGTGAGCAGGAAGCAAGGCAGCGAAGACAGCCTCCGGGGCCCCGAGCCGGCCCCCGTGGGGGAGGAGGAAGTGCTCTTGTGAAAGGTGATCCCTGCGTGGAAAGTTGGGGGGTCCCCGCCTCCGGTTCCCCCACAGATATGCCTCCACAGCAGCCTGGAGAGGTGATGGAGCCGGAGTAGCTGCCTGGACTGCTTGACTTCGCATGCCTGGCCATGTTGCCCCGCTCGGGGCTGCTGCACCCCGCGTTTCCATAGCAGCATGTCCTACGGAAACTGAGCACGTGTGTAGAGCCTTGACTGTCATCTCTGGTTATTTGTTTTTTCCTTTGTTGTTTTAAAGGGGACAAAAACAAAAAAAACAAAAACTTGACTCCGTGACATTGACTGTGGCCGCTGGCTGGCTGGACCGGCAGGTGTGAGTTACAGATCCAAACCCATGTGCATTTTGGGACAATTGCTTTTTAAAATGTTTTTATGCCAAAAAACCATCATTGTGAATTCAGAATCATGTCAGATGTACCAAGTGAATGTGTGTGGGGTTTGAGCTGCACGGAGGAGGGAGCAGAAAACCCCGGCAGGCTGGGGCCATGAAGGTTAGGTGCAAAACCCCAAGCCGTGGCACCTTTCAGAACCGTGCAGGGAGTTTCGATGCAACTTGTTTTTAAGAACGACTTTTTAATTTTTTTATGGGTAGAATTGTAGTCAGGAAAACTGAAAGGGCTTGAAGTTTAATTGAATTGGATTCTCCAACCCTGAAAGGGTATTCGGCTGCTGTGGCAGGAAAAAGTTTGCCTGGAGGGCTGAACATATTTCTTTGTGACATCGTTGGCCGAGCTCTAAGTCAACCTCACTGTTCAATGACAAAAACTTCAGGGTGAAATCCTACACTTCCATGTACATTACATGGCTTAAGAGTCAACAGAAAAATTTCAGTTCTCTAACTAGACTGAACTCTAGAGAGGTTCAGAAGTTATTCAGAGCTTCCAGGATCCATGTTGCGGTTTTTGCCATGGGATCGGAGTCAGAGCCCATGACACCTTTGCTTGTATATTAGCAGCTTTGCTTGTTTGTGACCTGTGCGTTCTAGAGACTGCTAAGGTTTTGTTTTTGTCTTAAGTACTAGCTGGTTGTGGTAGTCAACGAAACGTGTCCAGGGGCCACTTAGGAAATTGTCCCACTTGTTGAGGCACAAATGTCAAAGGTTAGTGTCAAAGCTTTATGGGGATCCATGGTGACATTAGAGAAGATTGTTGGAACTCAGATCACTCCTCAGGATACAAGAGAACCAGGGTTGGCACAGGATGTTCCCTTTGACAGCCAGAGCCCAAGGAGAACAAGTTGCTCCTTTTTTGACTTCCAGCCAATATTGGGAAGTTTGATTAAGATTGGGTGTGACTGTCGAGAGTCACACGTGGATGAATATGAAGTTCGAGGGGGAAGAAAACTGGAAGGACTTAACCCTGGGAGATCATGAGCTCTGTTTCCTAGTGCTTTGGGGGGTTATGAGAGCTCTGGTTTTAGGGGAAATACGGTATCAGTAGTGGGACTCAAAAGACTAGTTTCCCATAGTTTCTGCCTGATGAGCGTTGGTTCAGAGACTTCCTGCAGAGACAGAGTGAGGCCTGTGCCCCCTGCCCACATCCACACAGAGCTGTTGTTCTTGGCTTCCATAGATTTTTCTTAAGCTCTTGATTATAGTTTAGCCAGACTTTTCTTGTTCTCATATAAGCAGTTAAGAATTAGGACATGCCGGTTCCGAAGGGCAGAGACTCCAGTCCAGCGAGGGTCCTCTTGCCTGCTTGCTTTGTCTTTGTAACCAAGCACTTCCTCTTGCCCTCCCCCTTTAACTTTATGGGGAAACCACAATAGCTCCACCCCTTCTGGTAGGAGATGGGGTTTGGTTAGTTTGCAATAAGCACCATGCAGTGGTTTAAGCCAACTGGTCCTTAGGCTCCATCCCAGCCTGTCTGCATGGACTCCAGCCTGGCAGGCAGCATGCAGAGCTCTGCAGAACTCCTCCTGTGTTTACACGACCGCATCGGGCAATGCCATTCCTCCCTACCATGGAACTTTCCACCCAAGATGTCTTATGTGGAATACCAGCAATTAGGCAACACCCACATGTTTGGGTAGGTGGGTCGGGGGAGGTCCACATTGACTACTTTTTTAAAAAAATAAAGAAACACCAAAGAAAGCTGTGGGAAGGAACTACCCCATCCCCCATGGGACGTACAGGTGGACATGGCTGTAACTAGAGCATTAGAACCCCATTCTTGGAGCACAAACATGGGATTTTTCAAAAGCCAGCTCTGCCAGAAAGGGGGAAGCTGTCACTAAAAGCTTTTCTTTGTGGGCAAAACGGATGCCATGATGCCTTCCGTGGCTGGCTCATCTATGGACCAATGTGGTGTAAGCAACTGTGGTCTATACCTGTGGCCTTGTAGGAAGCACAAATCCTCCCTCACTTTTCTCTCCCTCTGCCCCTTTCCACCTCCCCTGTTCTGGGTTGCCACAGGTCACCAGAAGCATTATTAAGTCCCTTGTTGGCACTTGGGGCCACAGAGTCCATCTCTCTGCTGGTCTAGCCTTTCCATGGGGCGGTACTCCTGTCCTCAAAGTCTTCCTGGAACTAGAAAGAGAACACCTGCACAAGTAGACAGCAAGGCAAAGCCTGTGGCTCTCATTCTTCTTCCAGAGGGGGCCTCCCATTGCCCATGGTGGAACCTGGACCTCCACTTGCTTCCAAGGTGCTAGGGAAGGTCTCGAGGTTGTTGGTTCTTGTCTTTTCTCCAGCTTCATGGGCTGAGTTTCATGGGACTTGACTTTTCTATTCTGTGATCTATCCAATGCCCGATGCTTCTGTTTGATTCCTGATCCTTTCTACTATGCATTTTCCTTTTATCAGGTGTACAAAGTTAAATACTGTGTATTTATCACTTATAAGTATATGAACTTAAAAAATAAGCCTTTGGTGTTTTTCCACAGATGATTAAGCTTCTCTGTAAACTTGAAATAAACAGACAGCAAAATGGTGCAAAGCCTGGGCCTCCTGGGATTCTGTGATTGGTTGCTGTTTATTTCGGGTGTCTGTCCTTATGCTTGTTTCCTTCCTTAGGCTGACAGCAGGTCAGATGCCCAAGTCAAGACTAATGTAGCCAGCAGATCCCTGATTTAAGGCATGTCCCAGTGTGTTGCTGCTCAATATGGTTCCAACACCAGCCAGCTGTGTCCACAAAACCTAGGATCCAGGCAGAATGCGTAAGCTCAGGCCCCACTTAAAGCCACTTCCAGGTGACCCACCTGTTGGTTGAAGTGTGACAGCAAGATTCTGGGGAAGCCAGATGGGTGAGCAGTCTGGGAGAGGTTTTCAGTGTGAGACGTGTCCTGTGGGCTAGGTATGCCGTCAACACCTGGCCCCACGAGGTGGGGATTTACCCCATTGTATGAATCATTGCCTATGGGCTGAGGCTTGGGGAAGTGAAGCCATTTGTCTGAAGGCTTCAGTTTGTCAGCAAATCACCCAAACTCCAGCATTCCATTAATCTTGATGCTTGCTGGTTCTTGTGGCATGTGGATGGCTTCTCCAGGCCAGAGGTCAAGGGCCCATGGTGTTGCTCTCCTGGCTTTGAACCTTATTTTCTGTTATCAGGGGAAAGCAGATGAAGTCTGAAAAACTTTCATCCTGTTGCTGCAGAAAAACACTGAAATACAGGCTGTTGCCAGGCATAGTGCATGTTTATAATCCTAGCATTCAGGAGGTGGAGACAGGAAGATTAGGAGTTCAAGGCCAGCCTGGGATGTATAGCGAGTGAGACTGTCTCATTAAAAAAAGAGAAAGGCTGTTACAAATCAGGAACAGGGAATTCCTGCTCAAAGACCCCATTAAGAATCTGAGGAAAACAAAAAGAAATGTACACAGTGCATCTCTGTACATTTAGGGGTACAGAGACTCCTAGTAGCCCCTTCATGGACAAAAGCTTGAAGAACTCCTACTTAAGGGGCAGCGTCAGGTGTGCCAATGAGAGGGATGTAGCTGAATGCAAGATGACTCTGTTGAGTGAAGTAAGCACTCACCACCAATCCCTAAGCCCAACTGCTATTTGCATTCCATTTCAGAAAAGGAGAAGAAAGGCGATGTCTTCCACTCCAGAAGACAGCCACCATCACTCCTTACCCTGCAGGACATTAAGCCATTTGTCTTCACCTGTTTGTGCTGCTATAACAAAATGCCTGAGACTGGCTAATTTGCAAAGGACAGAAATTTATTTCTCACAGTTCTGGAGGCTGGGAAATCCAAGATCAAAGTGTCAATAGGTTTAGGGTTTGGTGAGGGCTGCTCTCTCCTTCTAAGATGGTAACCAGAAGGTGGAAGAGCTACGATGGTAATAACTCCCTCTGTCAAGCTCCCCACACACACCTTTTCTTTTATAGTGGGAATGAAGTTTGAACTCAGAGCTTCATGCTTGCAAAGCAGGTGCTCTACCATTTTTGTTCTGGTTATTTTGAAGATGGGGTCTTGTGAGCTGTTTGCCTGTGCTGGCCTCAAATCACCATCCTCCCAATCTGAGCCTCCCAAGTAGCTAGGATTTCTAGTGGAGTGGCTCAAGAGGTAGAGCGCCTACCCAGCAAGCATGAAGCCCTGAGTTCAAACCCCAGTACCAAAAAAAAAAAAAAAAAAAAAATCAACCAAGTAGCTAGGACTGTAGCTGTGAGCCCCAGTGCCCAGCTTGTCAAGCCCTTTCCATAAGGGCTTGTAAACTTCAGATTAGCTATTTACTCAGCAGAAGACACACTTCTAAACTACAGTTCTCTACACCTGGAAATGAGTTAATTCATGGCAAAGGGAGGGCCAAACTGCTTGCTTTGGAGGCTCAGTGTGAAGTTGAGGTTGGAAACAGCTCTCCATTACCATTCATACCTGTGGCAAGGTGGAAGCCTCTTTGGGTTGGAAGCTTGGGAAACAAATGGGGAGAGAAGCCAAGCCGCTTCTGTGTTCCTTAAAATTGTGACGCAGTATTTTATGTAAAAATGTCAGCACAGTTAACCCACCAGAGAAAAAAGTAACATACATGCCGTAGGAACACAATCTAAAGATGAAAATTCTTAGGCTTTTAGGAGAAGGTTGGAGGGGAGGAGGGATGCCCGCGTTCCAGACACAGAATGTTTTGGAGACCTGAGCACACTGAGCTGGACAGCACGGGGCTTTACTGGTGGAAGCTGTTAACCTAAAGAAGGCGTTATTCAGAGGTGACAGGGATTGTGGTGCACATCCAGGGAGGCCAAGGCCAGGGCAACTGAAAGCAAAAAGGAGGAAGTACATGCTGGTTGTTTCAAAACAAAGGTTCTTTGGTTGCAGCTTATGGCAGGCTGTGGCCTTCAACGGGCTGTTGCCAGGTCTCCTAGAAGGGTTGTGGCTGGGGCCGCCTGTTCCTGGAAGTGACCTTCACTACACATTATGGTTTTGGCAGAATCTTTTCTATTGCTGCTTATCAGGCAGGCAGACATGAAGACCTCCCCCTACCCCTTCATGGCTTCTTGGCTATTTTGATAGGATTTGGCATAAGTGACTCCATTCTGTTGATAACTTTGATAAAAGAGAAGGAAGGAAAGTTTGATTGAGCATATGCTATGAGATAACACAGACAAGGAATAAGAAAATTGTTTGTTTTAATGTTTGGTCCTCAATCTCAACATAACTCTTAGGCTTAGGGGTGTGTCTCAAGTGGTAGAGCACTTGCCTGGCAAGCTATGGCCCTGAGTTCAAACCCCAGTACCACCAAAGGAAAACAAAAATGTGCATCTCAACATACCTCTTTTCAAAGGAGAACTGCTAACTCAGCCTCATGATTCTAAGGACAGAGTACCTGGTTGAAGGGAAGAGGAACAGCAGCCTAGGCCAGCTAAGAGGCTGGTAATCACAACTGGGAGGTTTTCCTTCCCTTATAAAGTGCTTGAACAGGGCTGCCGTGCCTTGGAGGAGTAGACCTATTCTGAGGGGGCTGAAGACTGTAGCTTCTGAGGAAAGCCAAACTGGAGGCCCTGGAGAGGCCCAGCCCTGTAAGCCATAGCTTTCCTTCTGCCAGCCACTCACCCCAACACCCCCACATTATAGAAACTGGCAGTTCACTGTGTTCAGTGGACAAAAACCAACATGGAAAACAGATGTTGTGATGCCCACCTATACTCTTAGTACTCAGGAGGCTGAGGCAGGAGGACCTCGAGTTCAAGACCAGCATGGGCTACATATTGAGACCCTGTCTCAAAAAACAAGACAAAACAACCCACAGGAGCTGGTGGGCAATGCTGAGTATTCGTGGAATGGAAACTGACTCAGAATCTGGAACTTCCTGTGAGGCAACATAGCAACATAGCAGCCGTTTCTCCCTTCATCTCACTGTGCTCGATGAGGTCTGTGAGGAGCCTAGGTGTGGGGTGAGCATCACTGGTCCATCTCACCAGCAAGACCCTGCAAAGAAGGATAAGCAGGTAAGTGTATACCTAGCATGCATTGCCCCCAGGCTTACCTGGACCACCTGGGGCAGACAGGAGGGAAGGGCTTTTCTTGAGGACTTCTGGAATCTTCACAACTGAGAGGATTCAAGCTGGTTCTGGGTGGGGGGTATCTCACAATGTGATACCCAACTCTTCTTGTTATGCAAGGCAAATTTAAGTACTGTGTGGACATACATTTTATCATAATACTCGTTATCATAACTACCTCAGGGTGTCACTGAAACAGCTAGAGTTTAAAGACAGAGTCCATCTCAGGAAAGTCTAAAGTAAACACTAGAATAAGTGGTCTAGAGATAGAGCAGATATTGAGGGTAATGTGTAGCTGTCTACAGTGATGGGTTACCAGGTGCCAAATGGCGCCAGCCTTTGTTGAAGGGCCTCATCTGATGTTATCGGGGAACTCTCCACTGAGACAAGAGACAATAAGGTTCTCGGACATCATGCCTGCTGGGAAGGGCCTACCTGCTCACAATCTTCCACAAACTTGTATTTCTTCTCCCGATAGTAGTATCTTTTCTTCATGCAGTAGAGGACTATGATGTCACACAGCACTGTTGCCTGGATTTAGTGCAGGGTGAGAAAGAAATGAGCCAGGATACGTTTAGCTCTTGCTGCTCTGTGTATGCCCTTTCCAGGAAGCCTGCAATCTTCTACTGGGAAAGGAAGGCACCTTTACCTCTTAGGAGAAGGGTGGGCCCTGAGTATTTGTGGAGTGGAGCCCCCCTGAGGAGCCTGGTCTTGAAGAAGGAACAGTGGAGAACAGGATGGGGGACCAGTGTAGAGCAAGTCTCAGGTCCAGGGGAACCAGATGCCAGCCACATATCTCCTAACTGATTTGTTCACTGCTAAGGAAGACCTAGCTACTCACCACGCCCAGAAGTGCCAAGCCAGAGCCAATGTTGATCATGGTAGGGATGATGTCAAATTTCCCGGCCTGCATGTGACAGAAGAATTAAAAAGAGTTCTAACAGGTAGGGGAGAGCAGAAGAAAAGGGCGGGGAGAGGACCCCTGCCCCTGCGGGGTCCAAGACAGGGTCATGGGGGTGAGTGGCACAGCCACCTTTCCAAACACGATGATGTCGAAGCGGATGCCATACGCCTTGGTGAGTGTGCGCTGCTCTTTGCCAGCAGGGTCCCTGTAGTACTTGGCAAATCTGGGGAAAGGAGAGCAGATTAGAGGGTGAGGGTACAGGCCAAGGCAGATCAGGGCCCTGGGAGAGAAACGTTAGAACAGGGCCTGGCGAGTCCCTCACACAGGTGGTCCTGTCTAACTAGTCTCTGCCCACTCAGCAAACACTGAGCACCTCAGGCCTCCCTCCTGACCTGGGGCCGTGCCCCAGGAGAGCACCAGAGTCCCAGGGCTGGAGGGGTAAAGGGTGACCCCCCTGTCATCATCTCCTATAAAACAGCTTAAGCCTGAACCTCTGGCTCGGGAGAGCAAGGGGACTTGCCCCTCTAAAGGGGAACCTGCCTGCTGACACTGAGGACATGGCTAGCCATAAACCTCACAGCATCAGCCCCGACCTAGATTCCTGGTACAACGGACCACATCCCAGTGGTTCTTCCCCTCCACCATGTGCTGTTTTGTTTGGTTTATATGGCTGAACTCAGACAATACCATGCTATACAGATCACCCATATTGAATCCGGTGGTTTTCAATACTTTCACAGATAGCTGGGTATTGGTGGCACACACCTGTATCCTAGCTATTTGGGAAACTAAGACAGGATCATCAGTTGAGGCCAGCCTGGGCACACAGTCCATGAGACCCCCATCTCCAGAATAACCAGAGCAAAATGAACTGGAGATGTGGCTCAAGCGGTAGAGTGTCTGCTTTGAAAGTACAAAGTCAGGTGGTAAGGTAGGGGGTGGGGGCAGGGGGGAGAAATGACCCAAGCCTTGTATGCACATATGAATAATAAAACAATTTAAAAAAAAGTGCAAAGTCCTAAGAGTTTATACCCCAATACCACCACCAAAAAAAAAAAAAAAAGTTTACAGATATGTGTAGCCAGTCAATCCTGCCACATTTTGTTTCCCTCCAAAAACACCCCGTCCTTCCCTGTAGCTCTCCCCTCTACTTCCCGCCAGCCTGTCATTCCACCAGGAGTTCAGGCCTAAACCAGAGGCTTGGGACCTATCTGGTTCACAACTTCGACTCAGGTGGGGCTGGTACTGGCTGAGGCCAGGGGCTGGCTGTCCCACTGGAGTTCTGACCCAAGCTTGAGGTTTCCACAAGAACCTTGAGATGGCAGAGATGGAGCAACACAGATCTAACTCCTAGGAAAAGTTCAAATACTTGCCCTACAATCAGTGAGCAGGATGGTTCCAAAGGGCAGCAGGTTCTGATTTCTTACTATCATGCACACAGTTGATACCACGTGTCACCGCTAGAGGGAGTGAAGGGCCATACAAAGCATGCTGACCCACTCAGGTGTCCCTTATAGGACCTATTTTTAGGAGTGGATACAGGGGAGAAAGACACAGCAAAGGGCGCGTGAAATGTACATAGCTACAGACTTTTCTGCCTCAAGGAAATGGCAAATACTCCTCTTACCCTCTCAGATTTCCAGCTGCGCTGGATTGAATAGCCTCATCCCCAAATTCGTGTATTCCCAGGACCTGCAAACTTTACCTTGTTTGGAAATCAGCTCTTTGCAGATGTAACTAGTTTAAGATGAGGGTATATTGGATTATGGTGGGCCCCATCCAATGTGAGTGGTATCTGTATAAGGAGAAGACCCACAAAGATATGCACAGAGGCAGGAAGGCCCTGTGATCACAGAGGCAGAGGCTAGAGTGAACCCTTATAAGCCAGGGATTGCTGAAAGCCAGCAGAAGCTGGAAGAAACAAGGATCACGCCCCACAGCCACGGTGGAGGGTTGGAGGCTTGTAGGGGTGGAGAAAGTCCCTGCACACACCTCTGTTTTAGACTTCTGGCCTCCAGAACTGAGGGAATACAATCCTGTTGTTCCAAGCCCTTTAGTCTTGTTACGTCAGCCTAGGGAAACTGATACACCATCATTTTCAGCAGGAAAATATAAGCACGGGCCTTTTTTTTTTTTGGTTTTTTGAGACAGGATCTTCCTATGCAGCTCAGTCTGGCCTGGAACTCATAACCCTCCTGTCTCAGCCTCCCGAGTGCTGATATTACAGACATGTACCACCACGCCCAGCTTGAGCACAGGCCTTTCTGGAGCTCAAAACCTTCATCCCCTGCACACTAGAGATTTTGTGGCAGGCTCAACCATTGAGAAACTAATTCCTGGGCCAGGCCCCAGAGGCCTTTGGACAGAGGTCATATGCTTGGCCACTCCTCACAACAGTAAGTGAGGTCATGATCTTGCGAAGCTAAAACTGCCAGCTTCTTTCCACCGCTGTACAAATCTCAGCAGCAGGAAAGAACAAGGAGGCTCTTGCCAGTCAGGAAGCCATGGCAGCAAGACCCTGCTCAGAGCCCTCTGCCTGGTACATGGACTAGCTGCCTAGCTAGGGGATGGGCAGCCTGGTCTGGGGTTGCGGCATGTGTGCTGGTCTTTGGAGGAGGGGCAAGGATACCCCCAACAGGGACCCAGTCCACCCACCATCACCCCTTAGCATGTGACAGGACCCAAGCTCAGGCCCACCTGAAATTGTAGCCGGGAGATACATTGTGGTCAGGGTCCCGAGTGTCAAGGCGCCGGAATGAATAGCTGGGCAGGCAGAGGGAGGCGGCTCTGTCTAGGTTGCAGTCCCAGTTCACCTGGATGCCCATGATACCTCCCTGCGGGTGCAGCAGCAGAGACACAGCCAGGCTCTTGTCAAAGCTATGTCTAGTCGCAGATGTGCCCAGGGTTGTGTGAGAAAAGCTGGCCCTGCACCTACCTCCACAGCCATCTCCTGGAAGTTGTGTCCTGCATTCTCCACTATTTTGCCAAGACGGAATATGGGGCAGAAGGGATCCGTGTGAGTGTCATAGATGCATGATTTGAGGTAAGTGGTGGTAATATTGGGAAGGATATTCCTCCTAACGTTGAGGGGAAGCAGAAAAAAAAATCAGAGCGAGAAGGAAAGCCTCAGGAAAGAGCCAGAAGTTTCTCCAAGACATTGATCAATGCCCACTCCTGACCACCACTTACTTGCTGAAATTAAACTTGGGATACCAGATGTTGTTCTTTACCAAAAGAGTGAAGTTTTCTGCAGCCTTTAAAAAAGCAGGTCTGAAAAATAAATTGTAAGATAGCTACATTTTCTACTAAAAGTACAAATATATATACACTTGGGTAAGTAGATAATAGTCTGAAACACACACGTGATTTAAAATGACATTTCTGGAGAAGAAGGTGAAGCAACTCTGACATTTTCTGCTCTCTTCTGCATAACCTTAGGTTAAGGAAGAAATGAGCCAGTCTTCCAGGTTCTTCTGGAAGGACAGGCAAGGGTCTCTTGCCCAGGCAGCAGGCAGTGGAGAATCTGTGACGCTGAGGAGGGTGCTGGCCTGCAGCCTTGCCAAACATGGTCCTGAAGCAGCTGCTGGTCTCAGACTTGCCTCACCCAGGTGTTCTTGGGTGAATGAATGCTCCTCAGTTATGGTTTTACAAGTCTAAGCAAAGGTAAGATCACCTGCAGGCTACATCCTGGTCTCAGCTGAAAAGTACACAGAGTACCAGCCAGCTGTCAGAGGCATTACGTCAGCTTCTGGCTGACAATACAAGATGAATCTGTTCCCAGGGGGACTCTTTTTCTATGGTGGATTCTTCTACAGGGGAACCCAGCACTGCTGGGCTGCCCCTTCTGCAAGGGAGGCCCACTTTGAGCCAGGGTGACATTACTAGTCTTCTCAACTCTGCGCCAGGAGGAAGGCCATAGAGAGGGCCACCTGATGAGGACAGCTGAGCCAGCGGCCCCTGCTTTGGAGTAAAGGCCTCAAGCGTGGCATCTCTTGAATTCAAGTCTCCATTCCCTTGGCAACAGGGCAGGATTACAACAGATTTTTCAAGCATTTGGCATTTCTTGTATTGTACCTTTTACCCCACATCTGCGCACCCCGTATGTTGTACTTTTTAAGGTCAACTCACTTTATGCAATCTGGAAGCCCTGAGTTCAAATCCTGGTCCCCCCCCCCCAAAAATCAACTCACTTTGAAAAGAAAAAGTTGAGGGTTGAAAGTGTGTTTCAAGTGGTAGAGCACCTGCTTTGCAAGTGTGAAGCCCTGAGTTCAAGCCCTAAGTCCACCAAAAACAAATAAATAAATTGAGGCAGGGTCAGGGGTGTGTGGCTCAAGTGGTAGACAGCATGCCTAGCAGGTTCAAGGCCCTGAGTTCTCATCCCAGTACACCAAAAAAAATTGAGGTAAAATTAGCCATTTAAAAATGAACTGTAATGGAGGGGATAAACCAAATTGTGGTATAATATATGTATATACTATACAAATACGTATTAAAATATACATACATATGTATGCAAAGGTTACAATAAAACTATCACATACTAATGAAAACGCTTTTAAAGAAATAAAAATAAAAAGGAAGCAATTCTGTGGTATTTAGGACATCTGCAGTGTTGTGCAATCACTATTATCTGATTCCAGAACATTCCCATCACTCCCAGAGGAAAATGCATATTCATTAAGTTACTGCCTGTCTACCCTCCTCTCCCCCACAGCCCAGGCTAGCCTCCAACTGCTGTTTCAGCTAAGTGCTGGGATTACAGGCATGCCCCACCATGCCTGGCTCCACGCTGTAATTTAAAAAGTTTCCTAATAGCCACATTTAAAAGTAAAAAGAAATAATGATGTTAATTTTTATACAAGAACCCAAGATAGCCAAAATATGACTTCAACAGGTAACCACCATAAATTATTAATCAGATATTGAATGTTCTTTTTTTTCATAATAAGTTTCTGGAACGCAGGGTGTATTTAACACAGGCACCACATCTCATTTTGGACCTAGCCACATTTCAAGTACTCAGCTGCCACACATGGCCAGTGGCTCCTGTGTTGGAGCACAGCTCTCAAAGCCCCAAAATGCTAAGATTCCCTTCCTTTTAGTGTGCCCTCCCTTAGCTGTGGCTGCTGCCTAAGCAAATCTTCAGATCAGTGTTTTTCCGCCCTTCCTTCTATGCCACACACCTCAGGTAAGGTGCATTGGTGTCCCACTCCCCTGGGGTTACTAGGCCTCAGTCTGAGCTCCAAAACTTGGGGGGTTGCAAGCAATTTTCAGGGCATGGCCTGAGCACATGCAAATTGGAGCACAGCACGTTGGAATTCAGAAGAATGTTACTCTCGGGCAACCTTGAACCTGCTCTGGTTTATAAATCACATCTTAGCAGGTATTATTTTCCCACCCTGTTTATCTGGTAATAGAATCCCAGACTTCCTTTGGAAGCCCTTCACCCCCCAACTGGTATCATCTGAGTAGAACTAGCTCCAGAGGTGGACATGCGGTCCAGGCCCGAAGTGAGAAGCAAAAACCACCCTCTCCCCAAGCCAAGGTGGTGGGTGTAACTGATGAAGCAATGATGGACAGGTCCAGACTCTGTGCACAACTAGGAAGGGAGATGCAGCCTTGGGGAACGTAAGCCCAGAGCTGCCTCCCAGGACTAAGCCAGAGTCCTGCAAATGACACAAAGGGAGACAGAGACAAGGGGGAGGCTGATGTTATTCTTTGTGCCCCAGATCTAGCCCTGATGGGCCTTTCGGTTAACTGTGTGTGATTTAGCAGGTGCATGGTGCTTAAGTCACCATGTCTTAAGTCACACCTGGCTTAAGCCAGGTGTGGTGGGACATGCCTGTGATGCCAGGGCTAAGGATCCTCCTTCCCAAGTTCAAGGTCAGCCTAGGCTACAGAGTGAGTTCCAGGCCAGTCCAAGCTATATAGTGAAACCCTGTCTCCAAAAACCAAAACAGAAGAAAGAAGAATAAGAGAGGGAGAGAGGGAGGAAGGGATAGAGAAAGACACAGAACTGTTTCCTGTCAGTTATTTGCAACTGACAGACTCCTAACGAATAAGAGAGTCACCTGCACCCTTGTCACAAACCCTCGTGGGTCTCCTCACCACTTATGGTGCCACTCTAGGGTAGCCTGACCCAAGAACACCAAGACTACAGACACAGCCCCAACATACAGGGTCACCTTCCTGTCACCTCCCCCTAAGGCTGAGAACCAGAGTCAGGAACTTCCCGCCCTGGGGCAGGACTCACTTTGGCATATGGGCATCATCCTCCACTGGACACCAGGCTGCCACCTCACATGTCTTTACGGAGCCATTGAACGGCACACATTTCCCAGTTTCGACTCCTATGGGGTAAGATGGACCAGGTCCCCAGGGGTGTCCCCCCACCCCCACCCTCACAGAATCCCAGGTAACCAATCTTGAGCTAGTCCAATTATGGGATTTAGAAGGTGTCCAGAAAGTGGAATTAGTACAAGAAGGTTTCTGAGTGCTGGCCACATCTCTGCTTTGCCAACAGGGCCAAAGTGACACCAAGTCACAGAATGGGGCAAGATCTGGATTGGCTTCTGGGGCTCCCATGACAGGAGTGAATATAGAGAGAATCTTATACCAGGCTCACACAGGATTGTGTAGCATGCGGATTTGGGGGGATTTTTCTTTTCTGGGGCCTGGGACAGCACTCAGAGCCTCATGCCCCACCACTTAGCTATAGCCCCCAAAGAATTCTGGGCAGTGTTTTATCCTATGGATAAAACTGTCAGAGGTGCTCTAAGGGGCAGATGGTCTTATTGGGAGCTGCCCTCCCAAGGCTCAGCATCTACCGTTGCTATAGGGGCCTGCAGAGCCGGCACTGCAGTTGTCATCTGATATGCACAAGGTGGTCTTATCAGGAATCTGGAAAAAGAAGAATAAGTAAAAACAAGTTCCATGTGGCCTGGTCCCACACACAGTTGACCACAGTTGGTGTGGAGAGGTGGGTGTAAGGCCCAAGATGCTTTCCTGAAGAGCCACCTACCTCAGGACAGGTGCTTTGGGTCTGGTTCATGGTGATTATCATGTTGGTCATGACAAAGAGGGAGTTTTCCTCCTGCAGAGAGAGCAGAGAGAAAGCCAGGGGGCTGGTGGAGTGGCTCACATGGTAGACCACCTGCCTTGCAAGCATGAGGCCCTGAGTTCAAACCCCAGTCCCACAAGTCAGATATTTCCTTAAGAGCACAATTCAAAAAAACTGAACTTCTGGTCTCCTGTTCTCCCCGAAACCTCTTATAAAAACAGGGAGTTGAAACAGGCACTCAAATACTTGTACTCAGATACTCATAACAGCACTTCACACAGCCAAGAGGTGGAAACAACCCAAGTGTCTGTCGATAGTGATCTGAACATACAATGCAGTTATACGCTAAATGAAAGAAGCCAGGACTGGGGATGTAGCTCAGTGGTAGAGCGCTTGCCTAGCACGCAAAAGGCAGGGAGGGAGGGACGGAGGGAGGGAGGGAGGAACAATGGATCACATATTATTTGATTCCACTGATACCAAATTTCTAGAGGAGAGAAACCCATAGAAACAGTAGTGACTTCTAGAAGCTGGGAAGGGGGCAATAGGGAGTGACTGCATATCTATTTTGGGGGTGATGAAACTGTTCTGGAACTAAACTGAGATGATAGTTACACAATACTACAAATTCACTAAATGTCACTGAATCTTTCATTTAAAAATATTTAATTTTCTGTTATATGAATTTTACCTCAATTAAGTCTATAATCTGAAATGATTCCTCAAAAAAGTTTGATGTATTGAGGAAATACAGGCAATCACTACTCAAAACCTTCTTGGTTAACCAACTACCTCAGGTATAAATACATGAAGTCCCCTGAGTCTCCAGTGAGGCTGGTTTGTTGTTGTTTGTTTTTTCCTGATAGAATCTTGCAAACTATTTGCCAGGGATGATTTTGAACCATGATCCTTCTGATCTCCGCCTCCTGAGTAGCTGGGATTACAGGCATGAGCCACAGTGCCCAGTAGAAACATACTCTTCTGGTGTCTCCAGAAGTCTGCTCTTGAGCCTCACAAGTTAGATAAGCAATTCATTGTGGCCTATTTTTTGTCTCTTATTTCATATCTACTTCAAATTTAGGGAAATTTGGGTCTGGAGATGAGCCAAATAGATGCACTGATTATGTTCCATTTATAGGGAGGCACAAAAATGTGGCAAAAGCTCAAGAGAAGTTTTTGGAACTCACAGCCTCCCAGCCCAGCTGCCGGGCATCCTTCCCATTCTGGCAGTAGGGGCTTGTGCCCTTCCTTGGCTCCAGTAAACACCCTGGGTGTGATAGTCCCAGAGCCTGCCAGGGTGAGGCTGTGGTTCACAGGATGCAGGGTCTCTGCCCAGACAGGTGCATACCAACAGAACTATCTACCTGCAAGTACCCTGTTCTGTTTGACCTGACTGCTCATCAGCTCAGGCTTCTCTCTGGACACCCACCAGACTCTTCTCTTGGGAAGAAGGGAGGGGAATGAACATACTTGAAGAGACAGTTCCTGAAGTCCTTGCTTTTTCTCTCATGGCTCTGAGCCAGGAGCTGGCAGCTTATCTGGGTCTGGTCACTGTCGGCCATCTGGAGGGGCATGGTAGGGTTTAGCTAAGTAGCACATAGCTAAAGAGACAATGTTTAACTTGCAGCTTTGAGCTGGGGATACGGTCCCCTGGTGGGATCAAAATACTAACTTGCAGCTTTGCAAATAACAGACTGGTGACCAGGATGCCACACTCTCTTCCCTTCCTTTGTTCTTTTAAAAAAAAATTTTTTTTTGGAGATACTGGGGTTTGACCTTGGGCCTACACCTTGAGCCACTCCACCAGCCCTTTTTTGTGAGGGGTCTTTTGGAGATAGGGTCTCGAAAACTATTTGCCTGGGACTGGGGGCTGGCTTCAAGTCTTGATCCTCCTGATCTGCGCCTCCTGAGTAGCTAAGATTACAGATGTTAGCCCCTGCGCCCAGCCTTTCCTTTGTTCCTGACAGTATCCTATGCTGTTTCTTCTGGTTTGAGTTTTGGTCTTCAACTGATGTTGAAGATTTACCTTGTGGGTGTGAGACTATAAAGCAAATAAAAAAGGTGCTATTTCTATCTGAATTTATCCCAGGGCTTGAGGCAGACGGAGCTGTCCATACGGAAAGAATACATTCCTGTTGTTGAACCAGCCACATTTCAGAGCTGTCTGAATGTTACCTGCTAGAACTGAAGTCCCAGACAAATCTGGCCACACTGTTTTCTTGGGCTAAAACAGTCTGGGCATTGGAGAGGTCAGAACTCTGTCCATGAGTCATTAATCACGTGTGCAAAGTCAATGAAGAGAAAGCACAAACCAGATGGAAGCCACTGTGAGAGACATACCTGAGCTGGAATCACATAGTCCGCCACATCCCAGATCCGGAATCCAAGTTTAGAAGTGTTGGTCACAGCCACACCTTTGACCTTGGTAGTAACTGAGCTGACCACAGAGTCCATTTCCTGGTAGCCCTTTTCCCATACAAAAACCCACCTGGAAGATAAAGCAGGTCTCTTAAAGTGTCATTAGGATTCAGTGAATTTGCACTGATGGTAGGGCGCCACTGGTAGCCAGAGACTGAGAGGATAAAGTTTGCTAATTATGTGAGTTTGCAAAAATGGTTTAACTTCTGGAAACTCTATTTCCACTTCTGCAAGATGGGAATTTACTTTGTAGGAAATAAATGAGATGCTGCAGGTAAGGCACAGTGACTTAATGTGAAATAATGAATGCCATCTTGATGACTGGGCATTCAAGCATTTACAAGACACCACGACTTATGGGGAGTTCCAAGAGAAAGTAAGTTATGACAGCAGCTTCCATCTGAGTGGTTTCAGAACCAGTTCACCAAGGAAAGAATAGAGGCACAGAGAGGTTAAGTCACTTGCCCAAGATATGAAGCTAGTGAATGGCCAAATCAGGGTTTGAACTCAAGTCACAAGCCTCTGAAGCGTCTACTTTCAAGGAACTTTTTTTTTTTTTTTTCAGTACTGGGGTTTGAACTCAGGGCTTCACCACTGCTAGGTAGGTGGCTCTACCACTTAAGACACATCACCAGCCCCAAGGAACTTTTTTAGTAGTGTCTTACGTCTTCCCAAGAATACAGACCACTGGTATGCTTCTCTTTTAAAATGGAGATACTACTGTTGGTGTGAATAATTAAAAATCTAAAGGCATTAGCACACAGTGGGGAGGACACCAGGCTACAGACTGGAGCACTGGGTCTCAGTTCATGGGTCAGCTTCATTACTCAGTAGTCGTAACTTTGGCCACGTTGCTTAATCACTCTGTGCCTCAGTTTTTCCCTTTATAACATGGGAATGAAAACAGTTTCACAGGAAGTTGTAAGGTTAAAAGGAGTTAATACAGGTTAAATGCTTAGAACTATCAGAACCCCTCTCCACCAGAGCTGTTGTTAAACATCTACCTAAGACTACTATTGGTGTTATTAATTTTTTTTGGTGGTAGTGGGGGTTTGAACTCAGGAACTCACGCTTGCTAGGCAGGTGCTTTACCTGAGTCACATCCCCAGCCCACTGCTATTATTTCTAGGATCAAGAAATGCTAACATCTGTCTCCTTTCCTTTTAAGTCCTAGATGCTGAGTTCAGAAATTCACTGGTTTGGGTTACTTATTTAGGGGTTTGTTTGATCTGAGCAGTCCCCCAGTTCATTGCTGGTTGTGGAGATGGGCTTCTGCCCTGACAAGTCCTCTTCCTCCAGGATTCTAAGAATTCAGCTGCAGTAACACTTCTACTTAATTCCAGTCAGACACACAGATGCTTAAGGCAAGGAAGGCCATTATTATTTTACCACCAAATATAGTGAGTTGCTAAACCAGAGACAGATGGTTTCAGACCAGTCATTAATCATGTGATTAACTGTTTCCTTATCATGTGACTAACAGAATTAGATAACTGGAAGCATGAGGTCAGTCTCTGAGAAAGGATTGCTGTATGGGAGAAGAAACCACAATTTCACCAAGATTAATAGGATCAGGAAGCTAAGAAGTGAAAAGGGAAAAAAAGACCTTAAATCAGATCCTGAGTCAGTTTTGATCATAGCAAGATGTATAAAAGCAAAGCACTGCTACTTTAGAAATCCTTGTGCTTAAGGGAAAGAAAGTCCACATGGAACCTGACAGAGCTGCACTGCCCAAAAGAAACATTGTAAGCTCCGTGCTTAAAAAAAGACACAGGGAAAGTTCATTTTAGTGTATTATTTTGGGGGGGGTGGTACTACATGCTTGGTAGGCAGGAGGTCTACCACTTGAGCCACTCTGCCTCTCTTTTTGTGTTGGGTATTTTTGAGATAGGGTCTCACAAACTATTTCCCTGGACTGGCTTCGAACCACGATCCTCCTGACTTCTGCCTCCTGAGTAGCTAGGATTATAGGCATGAGCCACTGCACCCCAGCTTAATGGTATATTTTATGTAGCCCAATATATCCAAAATATTTTAACATGTCACCAATAAAAAGTATTGATGTGTTATTTTACTTTTTTTCTACTATGCCTGCAAAATCCAGTGTGTATTTTATAGTGCTTGTCTATTTAGAGCACAAACAGTTCAAATGTTCAATAGCCATATGTGCCTAAGGGTTACCCTACTGTACAACAGAGGTAGAGATAGTTTCTGTAATCTGGAATTTCACAGGTATCCTAAGGATGTGAATGGATCCTCCTATGGGAACAAAAGCCAAGAGCTAAAAGCTGCATGAGATCTGATCCCAAATGCTTCTGGCACATCCACTGATGTGAGTTAACTAGCTAGCCAGTAGCAGCTCTCAAAATTGAAGAATCCATCACAATCCCTGTGGATAAGCAGCTGTTCCTCTTGAAACTACTTCCACTCGGAGACTTCATGAGTCCAAACCTGGATATGGGCCAGGTGGCTCCCATGTTGAGTCCATACCTAGATATTTTGTTTGTTTGGGTGCTAAGGACCAAACCCAGGTCCTCAGAAAAGCTAAACACACTTTACCACTCAGCTACATTCCCAGCAAGGGATTGGTGTCTGAACTCAGGGCTTCACACTTGCAAAGCAGGCACTCTACGGCATGAGCCACTTTGCCAGTCCATTTTGCTCCGTTATTTTGGAGATGGAATGTTGAGAACTATTTGTCTGGACTGGTGTCAAACCGAGATCCTCCCAATCTCAGAAAATAGGCGTGAGACACCTATGCCCAGCTCAGCAAGACATCTTGAATACAGTCAGTACCTCCTGCAGCAGAGGTGACAGATGCTGGAAGCCAAACCTGTCTGTCACGTGAATTACCTCAGGCATTCTTCACAGATTCCCAACCCCATCCCAAGGTGAGGGATCTGTTACTTTTAAACAGTTCCTGGATGAGTCTTTCATGATCAGGTAAGTTTGGAAAACACTAGGTCACTGGCTCAAGTCTGCTAAACATCAAATCACCTGGGGAGTAGGTCAAACTCTACAGCAACTGAATGAGAAGGTCAGGGGAGGGAAGCCAGCAGTCAGTATATTTTAAAGATTCCTAGATGATTTCTAGGAGATCAGGCATGTCAGCTCAGCAGCTGTGGACACCATTAACACCTGCGCGAACCTGCAGAGGGGGCTCAATTGGCAAGGTAACTGCTACCTTCTCTCCAGGGTTGTATAAAATTGTAACGGGTGCATTCACTCAATTACAATTAAACTTAGGCCTGGGGGTGGGGGAGAGGTGGCAGAGCATATATAAACGCAAGAGAGAAGCAGAGGAAATCACCCGGCTGAGGCTGGTACCCATACCTCCACACAAAACAAAGGAAGTGACCTTTGGACAGTTTGGGGAAGGAGAGAAGGACTCTAGATGAGTTTGGGAAACTGAGTTTCCCAAGCCTGGGTTTTGTCCGCAGATTATTAAAATGGAAGTGAAGACTGAGACTTTTGGGGCAAAGTCGCCCCTCCCCCCGCCCCGCCCCCAGCCAAGGGGCGCCATGGAGCAAGTCGGAAGGTAAAGAAGCAAGACGAGGATGGCAGTCCAGCCAGGCTTAGCCCTCAAAACACAACATCAAAGCGGCCACCGGTCCCCAGAGCCACGCACAAAGCCTGACCTAAGTGGCTGCAGGCCGGGGAAGGTGTGTCACTGGCCTGGGGTCGCCACCCTCTGGAGTCCCCCTGCCGGCACCCAATGGGGAGGATCCCTGGCCTGGGGGCGCCACCCCCAGGGCTGCAGGTGGAGGGCGCCCGCGAGGCTCCCCCGGGGGAGACCCGGACCGGACCCGGACGAGCAGGTGCGCGGCGCGGCCCCCCCGGGACCCTGGCGCGCCGCCTCACCCGATGACGTAGGCCAGGATGAGCAGCTGCACGGCGCGGTTCATGAGCCCCACTT